AAGAAGATGTGGTCCATAAATACAATGGAATATTACTCAGCCATCAGAAAGGATGAAGACCCAACTTTTACATCAACATGGATGGGACTGGAGGAGATGATGCTGAGTGAAATAAGTGAAGCAGAGAAAGTCAATTATCATATGGTTTCACTTATTTGTGGCACATAAGGAATACCATGGAGGACATCAGGAGAAGGAAGGGAAAAATGAAGGGGGGGGAATCGGAGGGAGAGATGAACCATGAGAGACCATGGACTCTGAGAAACAAACAGGGTTCTAGAGGGGAGGGGGGAGGGGGGGTTAGCCCGGTGATGGGTATTAAGGAGGGCACGTACTGCATGGAGCACTGGGTGTTATACGAAAATAATGGATCGTGGATCACCACATCAAACACTAATGATGTATTGTATGGTGACTAACATAACATAATAAAATTAAAAAAAAAAGATTTTATTCATTTGACAGAGACACAGCGAGAAAGGGAACACAAGCAGGGGGAGTGGGGAAGGGAGAAGCAGGCTTCCCACTGAGCAGAGAGCCGGATGCGGGGCTCGATCCCAGGACCCTGGGATCACGACCCGAGCCGAAGGCAGACGCCCAACGACTGAGCCACCCAGGGGCCCCAAGATGCCGCAAATTTAACTGATGCTTATCACCAGCCAGTTAAACCCTCTTTGGCTGATCAAGCATCTTTTCTCTATTTGCAGCAAAGCTTCAAAGCTGCAGGCTGGCATCAGACCACGAGAGTCACTCAAACCACAATGATGATATTTCCTGGAGTTCAGCATCCAACCCTCGTCCCTCTCTCCCCTCATCATCCCCTGTCCTGTCACCAAAACGAAGAAAGAGGGGCAAGGAGAATGTTGAGTCCCTTCCCCTTCAAATCTCTCCGAGCCTCCCAGGAATGCAATATATCCCTCAACTTTCCCCAGATCTCCATGTCCCAACACTTATAAGCCATGGGAGTCCGGGCAGATCCAGAAGAACATATGTCTTTTGCTCCAAAAGCCCTTGTGGAAAGTACCCCCTATTCTGTGGGGGAGGAACAGTGTCTGCTTTGTTCATTGTCTGTTTCCAATGCCTAGTACAGTGCCTGCTCCAGGATCGGCAAGAGTGTTTCCTTAATGAACAAACAGACGAATGAGTGAAGCTTTCCAAGTGGATATATTCAAATACTAAACACTTGGTCTCTGTGTCCATGTTCTTCCACTGGCCCCTAAAGAAGTTTCCCCTCTTTGTTTTTGTATCTTTATTCCTGGGGAGCAAGAAAATCAAAACAGTGAAATGACTTTTTGCTGGACCGTGAAGCATGAAAGTAAAAGCGTCAGAGCTTGGCAAGTGTGTGAGGCTGATGACAGCTTTGATGGGCTGGCTTCTCTTCCAGGGTCTGGTTTGCAAACTTCACATCTCTCCCCGCCCCTCCGTTCCTTTGACTCCCCCACGCCCTGCACTCCCCCTGAACTCTGGGGCTCAGCTGTGGATTCAGCTGCCTAACGTATAGTTCATGAAGCCTGAGCTCTTTTAGGATTATGTGAATTTTGGCAGAAGATTCTTGAGCTCAAAGAACAACTTCCAAAGGGTGGGAGCAGGTGATTTAGAAGGACTTAATTGTCCCACCTCAAATTATTCCAAATAGGCCTCTGTATATTCTGGCCATTCATAAGGCCAGTTCTGCTCATTGTTCACTGTGATGGACCAAACTGGATTAGGACCCAGAGTTGCAAGATCATTTTTTTTCTTTAAGATTTATTCATTTATTTTAGAGAGAGAGGGGAGAGAGCACACACAAGCAGGAGGGGCAGAGGGAGAGAGAGAGAATCTCAAGCAGACTCCATGCTGGGCACAGAGTCTGAGGTGGGGCTTGATTCCAGAACCCTGAGATCATGACCTGAGTCGAAACCAAGGCTGGACTCGCAGCCGACCGTGCCACCCAGGCGCCCTGCAAGATCATCTTTAACCAAGTAACTACCATCCCTGCGTCCATCCATTCATCGATCTCTCTCATTCATTCATTCTTCATTCGTTCACTGAAGACCAGTGGTGAGAAAGATAAGGCCATATCAGTTCTCTGGCAACTGACAGACTCAGGGAGAGAGATAGTAACCAAATAATCCAGCAACTGAAAGAAGCACCTCAGATAAAAGGAGGTTACACAGAAGAACCACGGAGGCTGGGTGGGTCTAGAGATGCTTCCCAGAGGAAGGCCCTTGGGTGGATGGAAGGAAGGCCCAATGGGAGATGGAGCTCCTTGAAGGTAGAGAAAGCAGTCTGGGGTAACTGCCGTTCAATCCTCCAGGTGGACAATTAGCTGGAAAGGAATGCAAAAGCCAGATCATTTAGGCTCTTTGGGACCATATTTAAGACTATATTCTTTATCTTAAGTTCAATAAGAAGCTGTTGAAGAGTTTTAAGTGGGAGAAGAGCAGGAGCGTTATCCTGCCTTGAGACATTTTCAAATATATTCATGTATTGCTATGCTTTTCTTCTTTTGAATTTCTAAATCAGCACATCTCTTCCTGGGGAGAATTAAGACTGTGCTTTCCTGGACAGCAAAGACAAAGCCAGTGTCAAGGTTCAGCCGCTGACTTTCACTTCAAAGATAATAGTTATAAAAGTCAAAGCTGGGATTTGTAAGAGCAGAGCTTATAGTGAAGAGATTGGGGAAATAAAGTTCACTTAAATGAGTAGATAATAAACTGGACTCTCGGGGGGAGGGGGGAAGTGATGAGAAGCAGGAGTGCTGAGGCCAGAGGGCCTTCCTGGCCGGCAGAAACCACACAGAGGGAAGCGTCAGCATGGAGACACTGCCCCACCTCTGCCCCAGCAAGCATCAGAGAGCCGGGGGCGGCGGGGGGGGGGGGGGGGACCTAGCAACAGCTGCAGGCCGTCTGTACCTGTTGGAGAAAGAGCGCGCTGTCTAAGGGTGGCCGGGCCTGAGGAGCTGTTTTTCTCACCGCCTGCACTTCACCCATCTTTGGCCCCGCAGGAGTGATAATCACCTTTCCACTCACACAAACTATCCCCCCTCCCCACCCCACCCCGGCTCAATGGCTCATGACACACGTCGGTCCCCTCCCCTGAGAGAGAACAGTAAAACTGTCACCTAGATATAGTCAAATGGGTTACAATGAAGCTGTGGTTGGGAAAGCCCCCTCATTATCTGTCCCGGGGTGAGAATAACAGAATCACTCAGATGGAGATAGTGGTGAAGCCCAGCCCTGTCATAAACGAGATTGGCCATTTTCAAAGGTTAACCTGGTTGCTGGGTGGAGAGCTCAGTTCCAAGAGGCCAGAGCTGAATGCCTGTGTGCCTAGACCGGAGCTTATCGCAATGGCCCACACAAAAAGGCTAAGATGGTTGCACTGGGGCTGGAGAGAAGTGACTGGATTCCAGACATGTACCTGAGATAAAGAGACAGGACTTGAAGCAGCAGATAAGGAGGTACAAGGTAACTGCATTTATTAGGTTCCTGCCACAATGAAACAACAGTTACAGTGGTTTCCACTGTGATGTTGAATAACAAACAGCCCCCATTCTCAGTGGCTTACACTAATCCTTTATTTTTCTTGTTAGAGGGCTGTAGATGGGTTGAGCATTTCTGCTTCAGGTCACAGTTGGTCCGTGTGTCTCTTATTCTAAGACCTACAGTTACGTGGGGTCAAGTTTTTCCATGGCAGATGGCAGAAGAGCAAGAGGCCAACTGAAGAAAACACACAAGAATATTCCAAGCTTCTAGCTGGACACGGCCTAGAAAGTGTCTACTCATATACCATCAGCCAAGTGACAAAGCACAGAGACAGTGGGGCAGGGAATTAAACTGCCCCAGAGAAGCCATGGCAAGGACGAACTGTGAACAAACAATGCAATCCACCTTAAGAATCAAGGAGGGCTCCTAGGTTTCTGGCTTGCCCAGCTAGGTATGGTGTGGTGCCCTTTCCTGAGAAAGGAAACACAAGAAATGGAAAAGGCTTGGGAGATACTGTGTGCTTAGTCTTGGATATTTGGTTTGAGGTGTCTTTGGATACCAGAGTGGCAAGAGCTACAGAGAAGCCTGACCTGGAAGGATGCATTTGGGAGATGATAGCAAAGACTGCCATCTACTAACCCCTTCTTCTTCAGTATTAGAACATCTAAATTTTAGCTGGCCACCGTACATTTCCAAACCTCTCTGGAGCTGGGGTAGTGGCCTGGCTAAATCTTAACCAGTGAAATATAGGAAATGTCAACTATGACTTTCATAAAGTATCCTAACAAGACAGGGTGTGTCCTTCCTCCAGCTTTATTTCTCGCCGCTGGCAGAAATGTGGCTGTGGTGGCTTAAACCCAAGACGCCACCTTGGAGCATGATGTAGAAGTCCAATGTTGAGAATGACAGAAGACTAGTTCCCGGAAAAGAAATGCACTTTAATAGTATTTTGAGTTACTGTCACCTCTAGTCAAACCCCATCCCAACAGTCACAAGAGTCATGGGAGCAGGGAAGTGCTGGAAACCACTGAATTTAATACCAAGTTTCCAAGAAGAGAGTATGGAATGAGAAGTGAGGAGAGCCTAGGACGGAGCTTTCAGTAGCTCCAACATGTCACCGCCAAGTAGAGAAGGGAACCCCTATGACAGAGACAGAAAGATGCAGGCTGAGAGATAGAAGGAAAGTGAGACTGGGTTGTTGTGGGCATGAAAGGATGAGAGTGTTTCGAGGAGGAAGTAGTCAAAAGTGGGAATCCAGCAGCAAGTCAATAGCAGAGGGTATGAACGGAGTTCAGAATATGACAAGGACACGAGGGCATCATGGTCTTTGATCTGCAAGAGTCTCCTCTGAAAGACTTAGGAATAAAATAAGACTCTATTAGGGCTATTAAAACATAATTCTAAAAAAAAAAAACCCAACACATAATTCTAAATATTCTTAAACCACTAACTGCCCAGAGTACTGTTCAGGATATGTTAAGCTATCTTCCCATAGAAGATAAGTAGAAGTGATGGAAAAAACAGACGAGCCTCAACATGACTTTCTGTCCCGACACATCAGGTTTTCCTCTTCACTCCCCTCCTTTGCCCCCGCCTCTGCCTTCTGCAGGGCTTCTAACAAGCCTCCACCTGGCCTGTCCTTTGTCCTGGGCCCACACTGCTTCTCATTTTATTCTCTTATGAAAGATACGAGAACTTCACTTTCTGGTTCAAAATCCTTCCAGGACTCTCCACTGCCGATGTTGTAAAGTTTAAATTCCTTCATCAGGCACATTAGTCTTTCAAGATTCAACCCTGACTTTTCACTCCGCCTCTTACCCACCTGTCTCGGCCACATCAGGATACGGGCTCTAGTCAACATCTAACTGCAGTCACATGGGAAACCCCCAGGGAGCACCACTCATCTGTGACCAGTCAGAAAGAGAAAACCTAAACGTTGCTGCTTTAAGACACTAAGTTTTTGGAAGGTTTGCTCCACAGAAGTAGATAACCAGAACAGAAATGGGTACCAGGAGGGGGATGCTGACGTTAAAGACTTGAACCAGATGACATTAGCTTTGGAATGGGCCATGGCCTCCAGAGTCTCAGGAAGACAGTTAGGGGGGCCCATAAGATCAGTGAGAAAATTACTGACAGTGAGAAAAGCATTATTGGAAGCTAGAGAAAAGACCCAAGAGGTGTGGTGGTAGAAAGTCAGCAAGGCTGTCACCTGCGGTAATGTGGAAAATAAGATTTATAACTAATGGATAGTGAAACTGGCTAAGGAGATTTCAGGCAGGCTGTTGAAGGTGTCAACTGAATCCTCTTAGCCATGGATGATAAGGGGCAGATAGAAATGAGCAAAAAGAGGAAATTGGTAGGTTTCAGATATAATTTAGAGAAAATGAAGAGAATCCAGGACTTTCTAGGTTCAAAATTAAACTGCCTGACATTCCCATCCTCCCCAGAGAGCAAGTTATTCACAAAGTAGGACGACCGACGATTCTCTCAAGGATATGGCTCTATTTTAAGACTTCAGAAATACTTAAGGGTGTGCCTCCTAGACCTCTCTGCTAGTCAAAAGATTTGTTAGAATTTTAACAGTGCCACACAGAATCCTAACTTTAAGCCCAAACCAGACAGGGTCCTGTCTCAAAAATATTTGTGAATGTGGCTTCTGTAAACTCCACACGATTCCTAGGAAACCGACAATGTGTTTGTGAGTTTGAGCTGATGACTGCACCATCAGCCTGAACTAAAATCGGGCAGAGATGATTCAAAAATGAAAAACAGCCTCTAGACCTTCACACTTATATGGGCAGGAAGCAGGCTAAGGAAGCTATTCAGTGGCAAGCATGAGCCACTTCTTGTAGCAAAGAAAGGGTGATTCAGAAGACAGAACCACGGGAAGTAACTCCCCGAGGGCAGGACTGAGATCCAAGGTAGAAGAACAGGAGGCATATGTCTAGCTGGATTTCCGAATTGCTACAGACCAGTGACTACTATATGCCTCCCATTCCCCCCTGCCTTTTTTGAGCAAGAATGTCTCCTATAGGTACCTTGAACACCCCATGGTTGATCAGAGTGTGTGTGTGTGTGTGTGTGTGTGTGTGTGTGTGTGTGTGTGTGTGTAGGGGGCAGAGGGCCTGTCTTTAGTTCACAGGTATTCCTGTTGACAGGAAACTATTTGAGGAGCCCTACCTGAGGAGGGAGCCATTTGTACCCGCACTGTATTTTGATGACAAGATCCCAACCTTCCCATCTGATCCCCGTGAGCTTTGGGAGCATTGCAAAAGGATGTGAGTATTTTTGCATGTGGGAAGGATGTGAATTATTGTGTCTGGAGGGCAGATGGGATTTTCCAAAGACAGCCACAACAGTATCTCCATCCCACAAACTCTTCTGCATTGGGAACTCGCCACTCCCTCATCAAGAGGCGAGGATTATTTCTCTCTGCCTGCTTCTACTAGGAAGGCCCTGTGTCAGCCTGACCAATAGAATATGGCAGAAATGGTGCTGTGCCTATTCTGGAAATGGTGCTTAACTGGCCTGGCAGCTTACACTTCCTTTTAGAACACTCCCTCTTGAGATTCCCTGTCTGAACCCAGCCTCCATGCCATGAGGGGCCCAAGCTACATGGAGGGGCCACAGCCAACAACCCGCATCAACTGTCAGCCACATGAATGCGCCATCGTGGATGTCCAGCTCTAGCCAACCCCTCCAATGACTGCAGCCCCTGCCGACACCTGACTGAAACCATGTAAGGGACTCTCACTGAGCCCAGTCAACCCCCGGAGCCAGGAGAGATAATAATAAATTGTTATTTTTACGTTACTAGGTTTTGAAGTGGTTTGTTAGGTCCTTGATACTTGTTCATTGAATTTGCAACACAATTCACTGCAGCTCAGAATTTTTGAAGCAAGTAATAAAATCGAGAACAAAGACAAGTATTTGTACCACATGCTGACTTGCAAGCTTATCAGTTTTTTGTCCTTAGGTGATAGATGACCCACCTGTAAATGGCTTAAATTAGGGGTTGGCAAACATTTTTGTAACGGGCTAGATAGAAAATATTTTAGGCTTTGCCTCTGTCACTACGCAATTCTGCCATTGCAATAAAGGCAGCTGTAGTCGGTAAGTGAATGAAGAAGCATGCCCGTTGTCCAATAAGATTTTACTTATAAAAACACGCAGCAGGTGATTTGGCCCATGGGCCATAGTTTGCTGACTCCTGCCTTTAAAAATAGGGATGCATTATTTCGTAACAAGAATCGAGAGTGGTTAATTCAAATGGATCGACAATATAAGCATGAAAGTGAGTTCTCTCCCCCTTTCTGCTCTGTCATTCTCAATTTTGTGGGTTTAGTTCTCAGGCTGGTCCCCTTACACGCTTGTAAGGTGGCCGCTACAAGCCCAGGCATCACATCTGAACACCCGCATCCCCAGTGGGAAGAGAAGATGGTCTCTTGGCGTCCAGTTTAAGAACTACGAGAACTTTCCCAGAGATCCTCCAGCACACTTTCATACCTCATTGGCCAGA